TGGACTTTGACATCCGGAAGAATCTGACTCTGTAAAGCTGAAGGAAGGTGGACGGATGGAAGCGTGGCACATCCAGAGACTGCCGGTTCAACGTGATGGCGCTGTCATCGTTGTCGTCGTCACCGTCACGGTGAGGAGTGACAAGGGCCAATTGATAGGCCATCCAATTCAGAGAAGATTGGTGCTCGTGGAGGTATCGCACATCTGCCATGGCTAGCTGGTAGAGGCTCAGCCCATGTCTCCAATCCCTTCGAGCACACGATCGACAACATCCTTTTTAGAGCCCTTCCTCGCCTGCAGCTCTAGGTACAAGCGGCGCAACTGTTGCAGCGACTCGGCCGGTGGGTAGAAGTCGTTCGGATCATGACTGCCGCCGAGCTGCGGCGCGCATAACAACTGGTTGTCTTCGTCGAGCCAGTCGAGAGCGAGAGAAAGAAGCGCCGGACGGGAGAGACGGCCAACGATCTTTTGTACGATGGCGTTCGACTTGTGGATGCGCACGGCGGACGACAGAGGGCCCGTCGTGGGAACGGACAGACGGGCCATGGTAGTTTCGCGTCATGGGTGAGGCCTGGTGGACGTATAGCCAACTCAATAACGATGATGGATGTGGTGAAGCTACATGGGGCAAGACGCGACGAGGTGTGGATGCGACGCGTCGTGGGGGTGGAGAGTGGATGGGGGGTTGTTGTTGTTGGTTACAGCCTCTTCGAAGCTTGGCTTCCACGTCAAGCAAGGCCCCAGACGTTCGAATGCGCTGCATTCGATGCTTGTCGATGCACGGGCCATCTGGTCCTGTTGATGCACGGCAAGTCTCACCAATGTGACGGGCCAGTGAGAGGGGATCCAGAAAGAGTGACGGAGTGCTGGTCCATTGGCCCCGCTTCGGATGCGGATGACGAGACCATTGGCTCGTTGGCAGTCGATGAGTCGTGAGCATGAGGTAATTAAGGTGTACATGCAAACATGGTAGAGGAAAAGCGATCGATGGCCCCGCCTAGCGACATCTGGATCCAAGTCCGGTGGGCGGAGGCACATGGTACATGTAATCACTCACTGCTACTGGCTATGATTTGCGTGTAACGCCGACACGGCGCATTCCGACTTGAATTCAGGGTCCATCTTGTTGTTCGCTGATGCCGATGCACACAGCCGGCGGGGTGGAGCTGACAAATTGACAGAAGGTCAAGTACCTGACCTGACCGGAACAAACACAGCGTCTAGTGTTCACGATGATGATATGTGGTTCTGGCGCCCAGTGAGTAGCAGACGCATGTTCTTCAAATCCTGGCGCACAACTCTCTCGATAGCAAGTCAAGGTGACGAGTCAACGCGAAATGGGGAGACAATGCGAAACCAAACAATGGCCGATGTGAGGTGCCAAAGTCGTCATTAGGGTTACATGACCGAGGGTTTCGGTGGCAACTCGTGACCTGCCAGAGCCCAGACAGGGCACCAGTAAGCCGTCATCACAGGCCGCGGGGATTGAATCTTGGAAGGCATGGTCCCTCATGCGCCTACCAGTCGAGAAAGTGAAAAGGTACACAGAGAAAGACCGTGCTGGTCAGGCGAGCGTGGGATGACTGATAGGGGATCACGCCTCTCCATTGGCTCATGCACGTCGTGAGGAAATGGCATGCGTCGTAGGTTGTCGGGACCGATGTACCTCGGGCGCTGCGTAGCGCTGATGAGGGACTTGTTGGGTGCCCGATGGCCTGTAACTTCCAGCCACACTGGCCGTGGGTAGCGTGGGGGGGAGCCCCGGGAGGGGGGGGGGGGGGGGGGAGGGGACACTTTCCCCTCCACCCACCCTCACATTCACCCTTCAGCAGTCCAGTGTCTGCCTGTGCCCACTTCCACCCCTACGCCTTCCGATTCCGAACAAAGCATCGGCTTCATTCAATTCACGCTTGTCCCTTCCACCCACCCGATCGCTTCCTTCTCCCTCCTCTCCTTCCTACCACCCAAACCACAAAATCCACCAAGGAATCATCCAGGCTCGACCTGAAAATACGCACGCTGCGACTACGACATCAACAAGCCGCTCGCCAAAGACGTCCTGCTGGTCACCCGATCGATCAACTGGTCACCACCAAGTCGGCCGAAAACCGCACCCAGCCCCAGCCAGCGCAGTCCAATCCACGCGCTCTGACCTCCGCCGAGCCTGCTCTTCTTCGACACTGCAGCCTGCCCCTCCATACTCGAACAAGAGGTCCTCAGAAACCAGCATTAATCGCCTGTCAACAGAACTCAACAACCTCTGTCCCCAGACGACGAAGAAACCCTTTCGAACGTTTGTTGCACGAAAACGCAATGGCGCCGTCTTACAACAACGGCCGTCGAGGCCCCAATGTTTCGCAGTATCTGCGTGACCTCAACACCATCGAGGCCAAGGGCGCCCGCGAGGAGGAGTTCCGTTTCGAGGACGACCTCGCCATGTTCACCAACACTCAGTTCTTCGACTTCGAGACGGGTCAGAACACTGACTACCAGGCTCAGCCTTCGAAGCCCGAATCGGAGGTGCCCTCAAGCGCCGTCACCACTGTTGGTGATGACCTCACATCACCCCTCGGCGACCTCTCAAACCTTGACTTTATGGCCACTGGTGAGTAATCAACCCTCTTTCTTTCGTTCGCTCTTCGATTGTCACTGTCGTCGCATGGCATCACCTTCCTCTTCCTCACATATCATTTTCTTCCCCCATATTCACCATGAACACGTCGAAATGCGCACGAGTGGAAACTTCATCTTTGCTTTTCCCTCTCACAATCAAATTTCCTCAAAACGGTCAAACCACAGAGATTTCCCCCATCCTCTTTTTCTTTGCCCGCTCATCATCCCTCATCCGGCAACCGCTGGTTTCGATCGGCTGCTCTGCTTTTTCGGCGCTACTCGGTGTTGGCTGGACCCACTTTACATGGGAGTGATTCACTCCCGAGGGGTTGAATTCAGTCGAGCCTCACTCAGCTGCCAGCCTCGATCACAAAATCAAGACGAGATGAAGAGCCGAAAAGGACAGGGTCTACATGGAACCCAAGCGGGCGCCAGCGACTCTCCCCCACCCTGTCATGCAGAAGAGCATGCCGTCTCCCGCCCCATCATTGGGAGGATGCAGCGCCTTTAATGCATCCTCGCAAGCCGGGTGGGGAGGTTTCTCTGGTTGGTGCAGAGCCCAAGCTCACCACCAGGACGATGGATGATGCGATATCCCGTGACTTGCCGTCATCACCCTAGCAGGGGCAGCGGCCGTTGCGACGCATCAGGGCTGCCGCCAAGTGCCAGGCCAGCGAAGATCAAGTACCTCTTCGCGATGGGCGGCCATGCCATCCGGCGGGCTTCACTGATACCCTCCTTCCCTCTTGCTCCCCGATCTCGTCTTGTCCTCGTTTTCCATCCACAAGTCTGTCATTGTCAAACCCTCGCCATCACCGACGAAGACCCCATTCCCATCCTTTCGCGACGCCACGATGCCAAGACCTCCACGCTCGATACTGTAATTCGACCCGCGACGATCCGACTCTGACAATGACAGGCGATTTTAACTTCGACAACTTCAACACATACCATGGCCCGGGCGTCCCGTCCTTCCACGAGGGCCTGGGCAACCTCCAGCCTCTGCAACCCAACCCCCAGCAGCACTACGCCCCGCCGCCAATGCCCCAGCAGCAGAACGCGTATGTTTCCCCGCCTACGCCGGGCGCTGGTGACAGCAGGAAGGGAAGCGTTGTGTTGAACCCCGTGAACAGACCCATCCAGGGCTTTGAGGAGCACTCCCGCGTTGCCGCCGAGGAGGACAAGCGCAGGCGCAACACGGCCGCCAGTGCCCGCTTCCGCATCAAGAAGAAGCAGCGCGAGCAAGCCCTCGAGAAGAGCGCCAAGGACATGTCCGATAAGGTGTCCGCGCTGGAGAGTCGCATCAACCTCCTTGAGACGGAGAACCGATGGCTCAAGAACCTCGTGATGGAGAAGAACGACGGTAACGAAGAGATCACGGCCATGTTCAAGGAGTTCGACAGCAAGCACAAGGCCAGCAAGGCCTCCACCGCGTCATCGCGCTCTTCCGACGTGAAGGACGAAGACTAGCCATTCGACGCACTGTACGCAATCCGTTGAAGACCGCAGATTCTACGTCTTGTCGTGGTGCTGGCGGAGAGTCTGTATCATTTTGCATGAAGGCGGCGTTAGACGGGGGTTGGCGTGGGCCTTCTTTAACGTGCAGGTCGAGTCTTGCAGTAGGCACGAGGCGGGTAGGGATGGCAGACTGCGGGAGAGAACAAGCAACGAGGAAGATGTCGCGGGAGGAGGTTGGGGGGGGGGTGACGTCGGGAGGGGGTGGTGACGTGGGGTAGAAGTAGGCGAGGGGGGTAGATGATGCGAAGTGGTGTGTCAGAGAGCACGTTTGCGAAGAAAAGTGAATGAGCGGATGCAGACGAGGGGATGTGTATTGGGTGTAGGAGGAGCTAAGTAGTGTGTGT